CTCTGGAGCATTTGCTTCTTTGTCCAGTGTCCTGACCTAACATCGGTTGGGACGCAGGACAAACAAGCAAATATCGGGTGCTGGAGACAAGTAACCTGCTGAGCTGCTTTTAGTTAAAGTCTGCAGCTTTGGGGACGTGCCCCAGACCCTGGGTCTGGGTTGCAGCAGGCTGGTGTGTCTGGCTCAACAAGGCAGGGTTCTGGAGTCCCAAGCTGGCAGGGAAAACAGGCTCAAAGGTAATTTCATCATATCAGGTGACAGTCCCAAGGGGGTCTCTGTGTCCCAACCCGTCAGAAGAAGCTCAGACAAAAACCTTCCCTCTCAGTGGGTGTCTCCTTTTGGGGCTCTCACGGTTTGTAAAATGTAAAAAGATTAAATCTGAGAACCTACACGAAACTAGGCACCCTATTTTCTCTCCTTTAATAATGGCCCCATTGTCGCATCCATCGCTCTCACCAGGAAATTGGATGTTTTACATAAAATAGGTAGTAATTTTAACAAAGCACAATTGTTCTTCCTCTGGGAGGGATAGCTCAGTGGTTTGAGCATTGGCCTGCTAAACCCAGGGTTGTGAGTTCAATCCTTGAGGGGGCCACTTAGGGATCTGGGGCAAAATCAGTACTTGGTCCTGCTAGTGAAGGCAGGGGGCTGGACTTGATGACCTTTCAAGGTCCCTTCCAGTTCTAGGAGATAGGATATCTCACCAGAGTGACAAGAATACGCATCTCCCTCACTATCTCTACAGAATTTATTCTCAAGTGGTGAGAGATAAGGGTATGATTGGGGTTAGGGTTTGGGTTAGCATTAGGGCTAAAGATAGGATTAGAGTTGACATTATGGTAGGGGTAAGGGAATGGTTCAGTATGGGTAAATGGAAGTATTAGGGCCCGATTCACTTGAATGTCTGAGTCAACGTTACACTAACAGTAAGCTTTGCAGTTACTGCTATAATTAGAGCCAGGGTTAAAGTTGGGCTTTTGGATTAAATCATAATTTGGTGGGTTAGAGTGAGAATTGGCCTTTAAGTAAACATTATGTCCGGATTTCATGGGGATACACAAAGGCAGGGTGAGGTTCTTGGTCAGGTTTAAAGTAAAAACTAGGAAATTTCATCTTCTCTGAGGAGTATCCCATTAATTTCTGTGGAGTGACCAGTGTTTTACAGCTGAGGGAGGCAGAGCAGAAAGCACCAATACAGGGCAGAGCCCTGCCTGCCTCACGCCAACCGCTCCTCTCCTTGCAATTCCCGAGGAAACTCCAAGGAGTGAAGCGAACCGCGATTGTCTCATGTGGTTAAAGCTACCAGGGAATATTTCCCACTAGATACAGCAGAGGTCAGTGGAGCCGCCGCTTCTGGGAAAGGGGCTGGGCCGGGGTTCAGTCCCAGCTACTCCCCAGCGCCCAGGGCATTATTCTGTCTGCGGGGGTGCCCCAGCCCCATGGACCCCTGTGCCCCGACCCCCCCCCTGGCACTGCCCCCCCTGCCCTGCCGTACCACAGCCCCACTACGCCTGCGCGGGGGCTCCAGGGCTGAGTCTCCCACCCCCCATACAAACTGATAGCAATCGGGCCCTGAGGTCGTGTCAGGGAAATTGTCTACATTGCGGGCGTCTGGTTCATCATTTCTTATCCAAATGTATAAACAGGATCCCAGCGCACTGTTCTGGGCGCGGCACACACAGATGAAAGGAGACCATCTGAATCCTTCTCTCTGCCCTAGGACTTATAATGAAGACCACTAAAGGAAGAAATTTCAGCCTCCTATAAGGAGGACAATATGCAAATAGGGGTGACGGGTTCCTGTTTAAATCTGTCTCTCTTCCTGCCCAGGCTGCACGGGGAGAGACAATCCGCAGCCCCTGGGTCTGAGCTGTTCCCAGAGACTCTCCCATAGAACTTGCCCCTGTCAGACCAGGGAAAATGAATCTTTGGGTCCACTTAGTTTTCACTTTAGCAGCCTGGGAAGGTATTTTCCTACCCGTGAACACATTACAGAGACAAAAGATTTATTGTTCTACATCTGTTTTCAAAGTGTTTGTTTATTCACAGGTGTCCGGTCCCAGATCCAGCTGGTGGAGTCCGGAGGGGATGTGAAAAAGCCCGGAGACTCTCTCCGCCTCTCCTGCAAAGCCTCCGGGTTCACCTTCAGCAACCACTGGATTACATGGTTCCGTCAGGCTCCTGGGAAGGGGTTGCAGTGGGTCTCTGAGATTAGCAAGGATGGTAGCAGCACAAACTATGCAGACTCCGTTAAAGGGCGATTCACCATCTCCAGGGACAATTCCAACAGCCTGGCGTACCTACAAATGACCGGCCTGAGAGCCGAGGACACCGCCCGGTATTACTGTGCGAGAGACACAGTGACACGAAACCTATTTGTGGTAATGCAAAAACCCAGGCTGCGGAATCCCCCTTTCCCCCATTCAGCACACGAGGGCAGCAGATCGACAAACAGCTCCTCGCGAGGCACAGCAGTGAGGGCGGGCATAGCGGTAATGAGAACCTGCTAGCAGGTGTTAACCCTTTCATTCCCTTGCAGTGTCACCCCTGGCGGCACCAGGCCCAGCTCAGCCTGTGGTGCAGGGATCACTCAGTTCCTGAGCACAGCCCGCTCAGCTCCCCCTGGAACGGGGCAGGCCTGGGGTTCTGACGATGGCATTCCAGAATTCCTGACATCAGCTGATGTCAATAGGCGGAGGTAAGGAGCCAACCAACAATGGATTTCCCAAATTTAATATAGCGACCAGTAAGATAACAGTTCCCAACCCTCAGACCTTACCTGCACCAATAACCCAGTGACTGCGCTGAGACCCAGCTGGGATGGATTCCCGCGAGGTTGACTGGAATCGCTCAGGGAGAGGCAGTGACATAGGGAGAAGCAGAGCCCCATAGGTGAGAGATGTGGGGACAACAGGGTCAGAGAGCGCAAGGCTTGAGGTATTTCCTGGTGTCTGCTGCTCCAGGCTTCTCATTTTCCTTGTGAGTTCATCTGCCCTGGGGTGGTTCACCATCGCCCAGGCATGCAATCAGGGAATATTTTGCAGAGTAAAACGGTGACACCCAGGCTTTCAAAAACATCAAAGGGAACATAGAGGGACACTTCTGGCTGCGGGAGAGGAGCTGAGACCTCCCTGGTTTGTTTCTGGGAATCAGCCACCTGAATGGGACAACACCATGGCCCAAAATGAGAGTAAATTGTCCCCTCCCCAAATCCCCTCTTATTTCCTCTCCCTCCCACCCGGGGCTCACCAGTCTAATATCACAATTCACTTTCTTCCCCCGTGTCTGATTCTGCCTCATTGTCCCTGTCCCAGTTTTTAGAACAATGTCAGTGGTTTGAGGTGCAGAGAGGTGAATAATAAATGTACTTTTAACCCAAATAACCCAAGATATCTTTTCCTTTAGCACAACCCCGCCCCAGCGAGTCGGGGGTGCCCTGCCCCGTGCTCACCGCAGGGCTGTATCATCCCTGTTCACACGGCAGCGGGGGGCAGGAGTGACTCACCCAGAGCACAGCTGCGGGATGGGCAGGAGAAGGGGCATCAGGGTGGACCCACATATGACACCAGCTTTTAACTCCACGGATCCATGGGAATCTCTCACAGAGCACCAATGTCGAGCACAACCCCGCTTTTCTCACACACCACTGGTCTCTCTGAAATGAGTGGGGGGACTCCCGGGAGTGAGAACATTGGTGTGTGGCCCTGAGCCATGTGTCCGATCTGCCAGGAAACAGTTCCCTCTGATACGTGTCAGTGGAGCCGGTCCCGGCTGGGAAGGGGTATGAACAGGGGTTTGATCCCAGCTCTCTCCCCGAGCCCAAAGTTATCTTTGCTCTCCAGCGGGTGGGTGACCCCTCCCCAGTCACCAACTCCAGTGACTGGCCGTTCCACAGCCCTACTGCGCGTGTGGGGGCTCCAGAGCCGAGATTCACCCCGCACCTTATTCATATTTACTCCCTTATGAATCAACCTCATTCATTTGTTTCTTTTATAAGAAATTTAAAACATAATTTTACACATTATGTGGCAAATCTCCGCAGGTATCTCTGAGTCTCCCACAGGCAGATAACGAGACTGTAATCCTGCCCCCAAATCTCCTTCTGTGGAATCGAGCACCTTGAAGGCTCTACCTGTTCATTCCCTTTGGGGCAGCTGGCATTGCCCACTGTCGGAGGACAGGACATTGGAC